CTAGTTTTCATTTTAAGGAAAAAAGTTAGTTGCTCCGAGGAAGAAAAACTGCAGCTCCTTTGGCTGTGAGGGGAGAGAGAGAACAATAGTTTTCTTTGTTCTTTCCTCTCAAACCCTTCTTGTCCGTCCCCCCCCGCCCCCACTTAGTAGATCAACAGGAAACTGCCAGAATTCAAGGGGAGGTGGTACACTTCGCTGGAGGCTCACCTTTACAGCCAGCCTGCTGATTGCCATCTATTTTTATGGCCCAAATGAACGGCATCACCTCCCTCCCTCCTCTCCACATAAAACAGAGATTTAAAAAAAAAGCCCATAATAAACCTTGTGAGAAGGTGACTTAAGTCTTTGGCTGGCACCACGGAGGCGACCTCTCCGTGCTTCAGTGGGCTAAGCCAGCTGGCCAGAGGGGCGGAGAAGTGAGCTAAGCCAGTGAGCTTCCTGAAGACTGGCCAGCAGAGAGAGGACAGGGACAGCATGCAGCAAAGGCACAAAGATGGGGGGCCCCGGGGGTGGGAGGAGGGCCTGGAGCGGCCGACATCGGTTAGTATAATGAAGATCTGTTTGAAGACTGGAGGAGCTCTTCATCCTGCTTCCAGAGGTTACGTGAAAAAGGCCAACAAGAAAGCAAAACAAAACCCACCGAAGAGCAGAGAATGAGATCAGGGGAGACGCTGCCTTCCCAAACGGACCTAAACAGTTAAATGGATCCTGGCAATTAGAATAATTAGATAATTAGGGGCGCCTGGGTGGCTTAGTCGGTTAAGCGTCCGACTTTCGCTTAGGTCATGATCTCGCGGTTCGTGGGTTCAGGCCCCGCGTCGGGCTCTGTGCTGACTGCCAGCTCAGAGCCTGGAGCCTGTTTCGGTCTGTGACTCCCTCTCTCTCTGACCCTCCCCTGCTCACGCTGTCTCTCTCTCTCTCTCTCCTAGATATAAATAAAAACATTAAAAAAAAAAGAAGAAGAATTAGATAATTAGATTGTGACTCTGTGGGCAAAGAGACGGAAACCTGTCTCAGCTAAGTACACTTGGTAGCGAAATGCGCTCAGTTATGAAAGGAGCGTAGTCTCAGCAGGTATATTTCACTGGGCTCGGGGAGGAAAAATTAATGGCATAAAAATTTGCAGCTGATGAGTTAGATTTAGGCAGCCAAAGGGATTCTGCCTGGGGCTCCATTAGAGCTTGCGCTCCTAAGTCCCACGATCACTATTGCACCTCCATCAACAGATTTTTATTTAAGCCAATGCGTTTAGAGCACAATTCCGTGGTGAATAACCTTTAAGGTTACATTTGCCTTTTCCTTGCTTCTTGCAAACAGTGCGTAATCCACGAGCACATTTGTTGGCTGTAAAGGTGTACAACAGCAATTTTTGCAATGACAGTGCGGAGAGGGAATATGAGATCTGTGTGCTAATGAGCTGACACTGCAGAGGCTGGGGCGATGTCGTGTGGAGTGCACCACAAGTGCACAGCAGCAAGACACAGGAGGGGACTTCAAGGGAATCGGAGGCGGTTCCCGGGGAGCCGGGGCGGCAAAGCCACGCAAATGAGACCTGGCCCTCCCTTGGTATGACCCCATCCCGCAAAGCCCTAGAACGATCAAGTTTGGGTTTTAAAGAACAGGCACGTAACTTACAACACGTGTGCACATCTCTTTTCACATATGCCGACTGGGTGTAAGGGTGCCCCTGTGCGTGCGTATGAATGCACGCATCCTCAAATCATGATATTCACACCATCCCTCTCTCTGGGGTCATCTAGCTAAACTGAAGCATAAGACTTCAAACTCCATGAATTCCTCTGAAAGGGGAACAGGCGCTCCAAATCAGAGGAGGTCTTCCATAAACTTCAATTCACCTCTGAACTGAGATCCCCAATGAACCACCCTGCAAAGCCAAAGAGGCTTTTATTGGCCTCTTAAGACACAGAGCGAAGTTGGAGTCTGTCTTAAGTAAACCTCTTGGGGGTTGTGCCAAAAAAAAAAAAAGGTTACTGGTGAAGAATAGTCTTTAAATAAGTGATGCCTGGGATTCATTGCAAAGAAGGCTTCTGGAAACATTGGGGGAGGGGGTGCGGAGGGAAAGCTGAGAGCAGGGACACATCCAGAAGGCCCTCCCCTTTGTTTATTCTCTCAGTGTGTGTTTACCTGGAGACCTCCGCCCTGGGCGGTGTGTCTCCCCCTCCAGCAAGGATTGGGGAGGAAGGGAATATCATGGGGCAGCAGGCAATTCTAGTGCTAGGATAGGCCGAAACTAGGAATGCTGACCGGGAACAGGGGCAAGTTCCTTTAATTTTTGCCATCCTGTTCCAGAGTGAACCAGATAGGGGAGGTGACTGACCCGATCTGGACTCACCAGGGACTGTTCACTAGAATTCTTCCTCGGTCTCCAGGAAGGGGCGGGACGAAAGACCTAGGCATCTCTCTCCTGCACAACACTTCTGTCAGCTGGTAGACAGGAGCCTGGGGTCACCTGCCAGGGCTCAGTACTGATCTAGTATTGTTAGGCCAGGATTCTCTATTTCCATGAGAAAAAGAACAATTAAGGCCACAGGCCAGGGCAGGGGAATGAGATACACCTCCAGGGAGTCCAGGGCCCCTTGAAATGCTGGTTTTCTGCCCTCAGAGACTCTCTGCCTCTGGCTGGACTAGTCCTCTTTCTCATGCTAAGCTTCTAGGCCGCAGCTGCCGGAGACAGCTTTGAATCTGGCCCCCATTCAGTGATTGTGAGATTCAGAGAGGAACTGTTTCCGAGACCAGAGAAGATGGTAGCTTTCCTCCTCTGTCTTCTGAGCTGTAAAGTCTGAGAGTGCAACAGGCAGCTGGGTACATATCACTGAGTTCTGGATATTTCTCCTGTGTGTGTGTGTGTGTGTGTGTGTGTGTGTGTCCTTGTGTGCATATATGTGTATTTGGCCTACCTAAGAGCAAGGTCACGTTTTTATTTGGTCTTTCTTGCTGTCCAGTGAACCACACCCATTATCCCACATAACGTAGCCTTGTAAGCTTATAAACAGAAGTGCTGTGGATTGGGGAGGGTATGGGGGGGTCCATCAGTTTCTTTTCCTATCCCACAACCGTTCCTTTATTGCCTGGGAGGTTAAGGCATTAAGGCAACTCAACCCTGATAGGAATGACTTCTTGTTCTCAAATAAGATTGCCTCGATTGTTCTCAAACCGGAGCTGTTTCCATGGCAAGGATCACTTCGTTATTGCTCCCTGGTAGGGTTCCCATGGCCTTTGGTGAGTGGGTGTCAGTGTGATTTGACCATGGAAAGGCAGGACCAGAAACCTTAGAAATCAATCATTCCTAAGAAGTCAATTGGCGCTCTTATCCAGGTCCTCATCAGTGGAAAGATACTAAAGTGAGTCGAAGTAAATAGTATTCATTATTAATAATAAATCCTGCTAGTTTTATGTATTTGGCTTTAAATCTGTTCTAATTGATACTTAGGAAGCTGCATTTGAGATTCAGCCTCTTGACAAGATCACAGTGTTGCAGGATTAAGAGTCAGATGTGTGTTGTAAGTGCTGCAGCGACAGGCTGGGATTACTGAAATAAGATGCAAAGTATAGACAGACATTTTGTAACTTTCACACTTAGCTGGAATTAATAAGTTCCTATTTTTGTCAATGTCGGAAAGCCAATGAATGTCAAATACAGAGTATCTCAGAACATGTTCATATAAGGATCTGTACCTTCAGCTAAAATTTTCTTAAAGCTGGTGTCACATTTCTCCAGAGTACCTCCCCCCACCCCCTTGACCCAAGTCTTCAAACCCTAGGAACCAGTGCCCTTGGTGACCCTTTCAACAGTTTTTGGAAGCCGCATATCCTTTGAGACAGAAGAATTTGAAGGAAGTTATATACAAAGTTTCACCCAAGCAACCAAATATCATTTCTCCCTGGAAATAAAATTTAAAAACCCGGAATGCCAAACTACGCCAGCCATAAAAAGCAAAACATATTTATGCCATCATCAACCTCCATTGTTGTGAAAACTTTGTAAAATCAGCTGAGATGAAGAACTATCAGTCTTTCGGATAAAACATTCCATTCAAGAAAAAAAAAAAAACAAACCTGTGTCCAACAGGCTATTGGTCATTTGGGGTCCCATGGTTTTACCTCTCAAAATGTCCCCTTTCCAGAGGGACCGTCACAGAGCACAGCTAGGTATTTCAGAAATGGCTTTGGGGTCGATAAAATTCCTCCCTTTCGATATTCAGGTTTTCAGCTGTAAACCTGCCCCTCCACCTTTTGCTCTAAGAGCTGTGTGGTCCCTAAGAATCAGGGGGTGCGTGACACTAGAGGAGCCAGAATAGCTTCCCAAATAGTAACCCGGGCACTGCCTTCTCCCTTCCCCTCGGTTTGCCAGGCGTTCCTCACTTGTAATGAGTTTGTTGCCTTATCATCTCCAATCAGAGCTCTCACAGTAAGAGAGGTGAAATTATACGACAGAAAGAGGCCAGGGAAACCAGCCTGATCTGTGCCTCAAGGTCACTTGTTTGCAGAATTTCTCATATTTGGCTCCTAAATATTAGACGATTGTCAAATTCAGCTTGTTCCTAGAGCCAGGCTCTAGCTTTAACAGTCAAGTAATGTACATCCTGAATTGACTCAATCAAGAGGTTTCTTTTTATTTTCATCCCATCTGAAGAAATTTCCCTGAACAGCCATGCTATTTTTTCTTTCTTTTTTTCCCCCAGCCTTAAGGGGGGCGGGTGGGGGGGGAGGAAACGCCAGTTCAGCGGGGGCGGGGGGGGTGTCTAAAACTTTTGCATCTAACATTATTCACAAAGGAGTTTTGTGCCCTGCCTTAAGTCCCTCAGCAGGGTCCTATGGAGTTGATTTAGGTCGCCTGAAACCTGGATGGACTAAGGCCCCTCAAATATCTACTGAGGCAATCACCACCACCCCCAGCACACACGCAGACCCCAAGTCCCACAAGCAAAATACAAATGCGGCCCAAAGGTCCCAAAGGGAGGAAAAGCAGATCTACTTACAAGCATTAGTCACAGAAAAACTATTGGAAGAATCCAAGTGATCTACGTGGTAATTCAAATGGAAGGGCTTCTCCGTGGTGTTCTGGTTGGTGTTGTATAACTGCACGGCGAAGCGGAAAGCGCTGTGCTCCTGCACCGTGTTTCTCATGAAAAGTCCACCTATAAGCAAAAGGAACGGAGATTTGGCTTGTGTCCCCCACCCCCCAGGACCGGTTAGAAATTGGGGAGCACTACAGACAGGCGATATCTCTCAATGGTGCTGGGGTGTGCGGTGATTATTGATCTTCAACCTGTGTGTCTTTCTAGACTCTTGTGAACTCAAATTTTGGCCAAGAGAAACCTGGCTTCCCTCCTGACTTGAAGAGGAAAACAAGAGGCGGGGGGGGGGGGGGGGGGGGGGGGGGGGGGGGGGGAGATGGGAGAAGGGGTTTGCTTTGGATGGAGCAGGACGACGGAGCCAAGAGCTCCACTTGGTTTTTTCTCAGGCAGTAGCATCCTCTCCACTTCCCCCCACCCCCCACCCCGACGCCCATCTCCACAGGCTGGTTCATCTTTTCCTGGTGCAACGGGAAAGATTTGGAAGAAAAAACCAATTCCATTCCCCCCGCTGCCCCGTCCTGTTTCCCCATAGCCATACCCCCATCCCCCAGGACAATACAGGGGTCTGCCTCAGTAACGGCAACAATTCTAACTTCCCGACTTGTCAATACAAGACAGAAGCCGAGAGAACTCTCTCCCAGCGCCCAGGAGCCGGGCTCCAGACAGACACAGCGGCAATTCATGAATTCGTGGTCTGCGTGACTTCGCCGCCCGCTCCCTGCCTCTCACCCCCACCCTCCCCCAGCCAGCCTCCAACCCCATCGGCCACCGATCCCGGCCGCCGCCCGGGGTCCCGGCGATCCGAGGTGGGCTTCCGGCTCTCCCAGCGCTAACGGGTCTCCGGGAGGCGGACACGCGGGACGGGGCGCCCTGGCGCGGCCAGACAGGCGGCATCACCCTGGGACAACTTGCAGCCGCGGCACGCACGCCATGGCAAAGTCCAGGGCAGCGAGCCGAAAAGCCGCGACTCTTCGCCCCTTTGCAGCCTCCCGGCCTCCTGCGTGCCTCCCCTGCTCCGCTGGGCTCGCAGAAGGCGGCAGCCCACCGCCCCCACCCCCGGCCCCAGGAGACCCCTATCCCGTCCCCGCCGCTCCCCACACACCCGCCGGCTCTCCAGGGGCTCAGGTGCCCGCCGATCCTGCCCGGTCCCCGGCCCCGGTGCCTTCCCCGGGCCGCGCAGGACCGGGACCCGCTGCCGCGGCAGCCCCGCCGGGGCAGGGGTCTCGGGTGCAGGGGAGCCCGGCCCGGCCGGCTGCTTGCTCGCGCTTACCGATGCTGATGGTGTTGGGGAATCCTCCGTGAGAATGACCCAAAAGCCCCAGGACTAAAAGGAAGACCGCCCGGAGCACGTTTTGCCCCATTTTCTTCTGCCTGGCCATGCTACGCCTAAAACGGAGCTGACAAGAGCATGGGCGCAACTCAGGAGTCGTCAAAATAATAATAGAAAAAGAAAAAGAATTCGCCGGCTCTTACACCCCCTCCCCTCAACTTGCTCTCGCTCACTCTTCCTTTCCACCCCACACTAGTCCTCCTCCTCCACCGCCTCCTCTCTCTCTCTCTCTCTCTCTCTCTCTCTCTCTCTCTCTCTCAATCTCTCTCTCTCTCCCTTTCTTGCTCCCTCTCGCTCCCAGGCTCTCTCACACCCCCTCCCCGCCCCCCACCTCACTTCTGTCTTCACACCAATCTGGAAGGCGGGTTCATTGGCTGCAAGCTCGGTTCGCCAAAGCGATCTCTCTCCCTATCACTACGAGAGAGAGAATGCGAGGCAGAGAGAGAGAATAAAAACCTAAAACACCAAACAAAACAAAAAAGACGGAACACCGAGAAACAAAACAAAACAAAAACCAAAGAAACAAAAGAGAGAGAGAAAGAAAGAAATTCTAAAGAAAATCCGAGACTTTTCTTCCCCCAGAAGATGGTGGGTCTAAAGAGGGGAAAAAAGAAGGAAAGAGCGAAAAGGCTCAGCGCCGGTGAATTGGGCTCTTCCAATTGGGCCGGTAGGGGGATATTGATCAAAGTTGATCTGACGTGGAATTAAAGCCGCACACCGCTTAGCTCCACTGCAAACTGCAGCCCCGGACTGCAAAGCCTCGGCGCCGGCGTTTGTCAACACCGGAGATGGGTTCGTTAGAAATACACTAGTCTTCACGTGGACTAGCCTTTCAAGCGGCAACTGGCCCTTTAAAAACAAGAAAGAAAAGCTGCATTGCCTCTGCGTTTGTGTGTCTGTCTTTAAGAAGGGGGGTCTTGCGGGGCGGTTAGTGGTTACTCCAGAGTCTTTGTAGACACTCGGAGAGGCAGTTCCCATCACAATGCGCCCAAAGATGCTGCGCATGCCTGGTCCCTGCCGCTCAGTTTTTACAGCAGAGATCCGAGGGCGAGTGAACAACCCCCCCCCCACACCCCCACGGCCCTGAGAGGCCAGTATCTCCCCTTGCCCAAGTGCAGAGCTGGGCTTAAGGCGGGGAGAAGGCAGCGATGGGCAGTGTGGGGCGGACTGCTTTGGAGGGTGCAGGAAAGTGTGTGCGTAGAGTGGTAACTAAAAGGTTAATGAAAAGGACGCTCAGTCCCACCGCCCAAGGAGGAGAGAGGTGTGGGAATGAGCTAGGGTAAGAGTGGGGATTGAAGGTGAAGGTCGGAGGAAACTGTCCCCAGCTACTTTGCTCCCTTGCTGTACCCTCTGGACGAAGCAGCCTGGGACTCAGCCTGATGACCCCAGACGCTATCAATTCTTCCCCCCCCCTCCTCTTTTATTCCCTGCTTTAAGGGGAAGAAAGAACCTTCCACGTCCGGCAGTAGTCGGCTTGGACCCCTGTTGGGGAATGGTCCCCTCCAGAAGATACTGTGGATGAACCTCTTGGGCTCTAGATTCTTCTCCTTAACCCCTTTCTCCAGTGGTGGGAGAAAAGAAGCTTCCTTCTCTTCTAAGTCTTTCATTCCTACCCCAGCTACTCCGTAAGAGACAAGTGTTACTCCTCTCCATGCCAGCTACTCTCCTTTTCATATCCCCTCCTCCTGTTCATGTGCAAAACGAACTTTCCCGCCAGTGCACAGAGAACTGGTATACGTGGGGCAGGGGCCCAACTGGTCCACCAGTCACTCTGGGACTTGGGATTAGGCATGACACAGATTGGAGCCTGGAATAGAGATTTTCCAGGGGCGCCTGGGTGGCTCAGTTGGTTAAGCGGCTGACTTTCATTCAGATCATGATCTCAAGTGGTGAGTTCGAGGCCTGCATAGGGTTTTGTGCTGACAGTGCAGAGCCCGCTTTGAATCGTCCGTCTCCCTCTTTCTCTGCCTCCACCGCCCCCCCCATGCTCATTCTCTCTCTCAGAAATAAATAAGCATTAAAAAATAGAGTAAAGAAAGTTTTCAAACCCTCAGGCAACCAGAAACATGGTTCTAGGCTCTTCCCAGCTTTCTATCCATTCTGAGAATGAAAAATCTCTTTCTACCCTACCACTCCTGAGATTCTTTTATCTCCATTTGGATACTTCATGGCTAAGAATGAGGGAGAAACCTGGGCATGACAGGAGACTGAACTTGCAAGTGATTGATCGAACCATTAGACCAAAGGAGGTGGCAGAGACCAGGTTGGCCACCCCTTGACAAGTGTGGGGACTGACAGCATGGCTCAAGAATATAGGCTTAGGAGACAGGTCTAGGTTCAAGTCTATATTCAATTACATATAGGCAGTGTGTGACCTTGAGCGACTTTCTTAATCTGGAACTCCAGTGTTCTCATCTGCAAAATGGGAATATTATAATTTGTTTCCCTATGAAGTGGTTGTGGATTAAATAAGGATTAAATAAAAGAGTAGATGCTAAAGGATCTAATTCAGGGCCTGACTCACAGGCGAATCAATACATGTTAATTTCCAAACGCCCTTCCCCCTTTCTCACCCTTTAAAAGTGCCCTTTCTCCCCCCAGAGTGCCTCATACAGTCAGCCTCCCCTTTCTCCACCATCCCCCAAACCTCAAAGTCTTGGCCAGTGTTCCATCAAATTCTTCCGATTAGGGCTCCTTAAGAGCCCTAGGAGACAGGAGAGAATCTGGTAGATGAATCTTTACTAAGGCTCTCATGGCAGGCTGTGACAATTTAATATTAAAAATGACATTTAGAGAACCTCTACTCTGTGCCAGGCACTATACGTTCCTCCTTTTAGATAACATAGTTGCATTTTAATAGGAGCCTTCAATGCCTTCACCAGGAGGAATAACTCTAAGGAGGAGTTTCAGTTGTGATTTCACGTGGGGAGACAATAGACTTCAGATGGAGGGGGGTAGCTTTCTGCACACCTCACTTCCCTCCTGAAAGCACCCAGGGCCCCATCCATGCTTGGCTGGCCAAGAGAAGAGGTGGAGGAAGAGATGTGCAGCCTTCTTCACTGTCATTTGGCTTGAAGTGTAATGGGGCACCTGAGTGGCTCAGTCAGTTAAGCGTCTGACTTCTCATGATCTCACAGTTCGTGGGTTCGAGCCCCGCGTTGGGCTCTGTGCTGACAGCCAGCTCAGAGTCTGGAGCCTGTTTCAGATTCTGTATCTCCCTCTCTCTCTCTGACCCTCCCCTGCTCACACACTCTCTCTCTCTCTCTGAAATAAATAAAACATAAAAAAGAAAGCAAGCAAGCCATGTAATGGGGCGGATCCGTAACAAAAGACGAGAGGAAGAAAGGCATCTCAATGCCTCTGCACTTGAAAATCCCCCAGTGCAGTCATCACTGTAAAGGGCACCCATACTTTCAGGTTTTCAGTCTCCCCTGCCCACTACCTGTTTTCCTCTTTCATCTGCTGCCACCTTTTTAACTTTTAGCTGTCAGTGGCAGCTGTTGGAAGAATTGGATTAGTCCCATCTGAGCCAGCAGGGACACAGTGGTGAACTAGGCATATTGCTGTTGGTTGGAAAGTCCGTATAATACATGCAAATTCTTTTGCATTCAATCCCTCACGCAAGAAAGCAGTGAGATGCTTTTTGAACTTCATCTTTGTTTTTCCAATGAGGAGCTAGAGATTGTAGTAGCGAGCATCAGAGCCGCCAGAAGTCGCCACCAAAGCCCCAAATCCAGCGCCCTCTCTCTCTCTCTCTCTCTCTCTCTCTCTCTCTCTCTGGTTAAGAGGTATCTCTGCTGGATTCAGAATTACCTGGCAAGAAATTAATTCATTGCAGTTTTTACTGAGAACTCGTGTTCTTCCATGAAATGGTTCGTCAGGTGTGGTCACAACAGAGAACACAGGAGAGGCACAGGAAAATAAAGTTTATTCTACTCACAAGTTTTAGAGAAACAAAGTCGCTGTATGTCATGAAGGGAAGCAGGGGAGCACCAAATGAGTGGGCTCAACCAAGCAAATGGGGAGAGGAGAGAGAGAGAGAGAAAGAGAGAGAGAGAGAGAGAGAGAGAGAGAAAGAGAAAGAGACTGATCTAGAGATTGAGAGATTGCCGCTGGGGCAAGTGCCTTTATCTGGATGGAGTATATAAACAAAGTCAGGAGGTGATTTCATTGGTACATTTGAATGACAATGTGGCAGGGGCCAGCCTTGTCACAGTGCTGCACCCAGTCACCTGGGTGGGAGTCCTCACAGACGGTTTGGTTTGTGGGGATGTTGAGGTAGAAGGAAAATACGAAATTTTAAAAATTTACAACATGAAAGTGAAAATAGTACTTCTCTTCACGAGGCTTCTGTTTGTTTCAGGCTTGGGATAGGGCTCTTGGATAAGCAGCAAGAAATGTCGGCCAGTGGGTTTTGGAGAAAAGATCTAACTATACATTGATCCTCATACTCGTGAACTTGACACCTTGTAAATAAGGAAAATAATGACAAAAATCATTGTGATTCATTGGAAGGAAACGGCTATACCCTTTAAAAGTAATGAAACCAAGATTCTCTATCCTTTGCCTAATAGAAAGATAACTTCCTCACTGTTTGACTTGAAACTTTGATTTCTTGAACAAACTTTTGACCACCTGCTTTATGACAGATTCTGGGAGGCACCAGGGATACAAGGAAGCAAGACAATGAATTTCAAGTTCAGAGAAGGAACACATGTATTCAGTGCCAAGGACAATGTAACACGGTAAGTGCTGTGAAAATAGTAAGCACCAGGTACAGAGGAGGAAAGTGTTCAAATATCTGAAACAAGGTACTTTCCTTATCCCAGATTCAATCCCATGCCATCAAAAAGAGAAGATAGAGCAAGGTGATTTCTAGACTTCTCGCTCTCACGTTCTATGGTCTTGTGATTCCATGAGTCAGGATTATCTTAGGGTGAGAAAAACCTGCCCACCCTTCAGCCTACAATTCTCATCAAGGAACTAAGCTAGGGACCCCCAATTCCCGGATTCTTTGGGAAGAATAGAGTCCAGTCATATCTGGAGACTCACGTTGGGTGTGACATCTAAGAAAGCTTGGGTCTTCCACCTAACTTCTTTATCCTTCAATCTTCTCTATGATACGACCCTTCCAGAAACCTCTGTAGAGGTCCTCTATGTAGATACCACCCTTGGTGTTGCTGAATAAATCCACAGCCCCGCGGAGCTGAAATTCTAGGCACAGGCCTAGCTGGAACTGCTTCTGGTGGGAGTTTATGTGTAGCTCAGAGGAGAAGTCTTATGAACTTGGGTTTGATATGCCCAGAAATGAAATGGATCCAGAGCAACTTCCAGGAGGGGACAGTCACACCAGGTGAGC